CCTGAAATTCTTTTTTTAATTTCGTAGAGTTGATCTTGATTAATTGTACTTAGTTAGTTAACATGATGATGATGTAAGAAATAATGATGTTACAGTGGCGATGGGAGAGTGCTGTCCTTGGTTGCTGTTTCCTTTCCTTCCTCTTGCTCACAAGATACTTCGTAAGATCAAATTTCCTTACTCTTTTATTTGCTTGATTTGATGTAAAAAAGGTTGTGGAACAACATAACCTTTTGGCATAAAAATATTAGAACACTTAATTACAGCTACAAGATGTTGAGACATTACATAGATCCCACTAAATCTTATCCAATATGTGATCAAGATTATTTTTAATGTTAAAACATTTTGATTTTTATTTTTTTGTAATTTAATTAAGTAATTTCATTTAATCTCAACTGTATTTATAAGTATTTACTTTTTTTTTTTTGAACGGTAAAAATGTAATATTTATTTAAAAGTGAAGTACAAGTGACTTTTAAGTATCTACTTAATTATTATTAAGCCAAGACAAAGATTTAACCTTTGATTGAGTTTTTGCTCTGATATATGTGGGAGAATTAATTTCAAGTTCAAAGTTTAAATCTTAATTATTAAGCCATTTATAATATTTCTTTTGCTTTCTTGGTTTGTAATATGTAGGGTAAAAGAAAGGCGGCATTCTTTTGGGTAAATGCGATGGCACCACTGACATCGGTGGTTCTGGGCAGCATTCTTGTATATCTGACGCATGCAGAGAAACATGGCGTTCAAGTGGTTAGTTTTTCTCAATCTTGGCTAACAAACAGTTGATATCACATTCATGTCTCCCCACTAACTTTTGGCGTGCAACTCTAGCTGGCTCCATGGTAAAATCACCCATGTGATCCATAATAATGTATACTTTCTGTTTAGAGCAATATACCCTCTAATTAAGGACATAATTTAGGCCGGTTGATGTAGTTAATGCTGAGGTTCGTTGCAGGCCTCAAGCATATTATGGTTTGATTATTGAGAGACATCAAAAGAGATAATTCCTCAAGAATTTACGAGAGTTACAATATGAATGTTCTGTTTGAAGTACTAATCAACTTGCATGTAGGGGAAATAACAGAGAAGAAAATATTTCAACAAAAATGATTAAAAAATGATGGATTGTCGTCATTTAGATTGTCCAGTGAAGAATTAATGTTGAGTTGCACAAAAGTTGATTAAAAAATATCCTTACTGTAAATATCAAGGAAGAACAAAAAGGAAAAATGATGGATTATTAGTGATGCAAATTTTGTTGTTTTCTTTATGTTTGATTCATTTTGCAGATTGGGCATCTGAAGAAAGGGCTGAATCCACCCTCTGCATCGGAGTTGGCTTTTGGGTCGCCACATCTGATGACAGCTATCAAAACTGGATTCATCATCGGCATCATTGGCCTGGCCGTGAGTCTCACTATTTCCCCATTATATCTACCGCATCATCTTCGTTGTACAGTTTTTGGATTTTTCTTAAAAAAATAAAGTATTTGGTCCGACTTCTGTCTCTGTAGTAAACAAGTTTTTTCCAGAAACAGGATCAAACGGATAATAAAACAGTTTAGTGCAACAGAAATAAAAACAGCAAAGCTCCAGTTCACACAATCAGACCCTGTTCATTGACATGTCATCCTGTTTATTGTGGGGCCAACATGTCTAACATTGCTTGGATGTGCTAACATGGAAGTTTGTTGTGTGATGAACAGGAAGGAATAGCTGTTGGGAGAAGCTTTGCCATGTTCAAGAACTATCATATTGATGGCAACAAAGAGATGATAGCTTTTGGGATGATGAACATGGCTGGCTCTTGTACTTCCTGTTACTTGACAGCCGGTAATTTCCCTTGAGAATGGTTTAATTTAAAAGGTTTCGACTTTAAACCCGAGTTTGTCAAGAACTGTTTTGACTTAAAAGTTTCTATAACTTCCGTTGCAGGACCATTTTCAAGGACAGCTGTGAACTTCAATGCAGGATGCAAGAGTGCAGTGTCAAATGTTGTTATGGCAGCAGCAGTGATGTTCACTCTGTTGTTCCTCACACCACTGTTCCATTACACCCCCCTTGTGGTGCTTTCTTCCATAATCATAGCTGCCATGCTCGGTTTGATCGACTATGAAGCTGTCATTCACCTCTGGAAAATTGATAAGTTCGACTTCATTGTCTGCATGGGCGCTTACCTTGGTGTTGTCCTTGGCAGCGTTGAGATTGGCCTAATCATTGCAGTAAGTGGACTCAGATTTCTACCTAAATGCTAACCCTCATCCTGAATTGAAAATCACTTAACCATCTGAATTTCCAATCGCAGGTCACTGCTTCCCTAGTAAGGATTCTTCTGTTTGTGGCAAGACCTAGAACATTTGCTCTAGGCAAGATTCCAAACTCAGGAATCTATAGAAGTGTTGAACAATACCCAGTTGCAGACAAGGTTCCTGGCGTTCTCATACTTCAGATCGATGCACCTATATACTTTGCCAATGCAAACTACTTAAGAGAAAGGTATGTGTACAAACTAAAACTGCCGATGGCAAACATATTTTAAAAGGAGAAGAGAATTATAACATGTACAATTCATCTTCCCCGGCTGATTTTGTGCTCAGGATCTCAAGATGGATCTATGAGGAGGAAGACAGATTGAAATCTACAGGAGAAACAGGCTTACACTACATCATATTAGACATGAGTGGTAAGTCACACACAAAACTACTAATTCCTACCAGTAGGTATAATTATAAAGATGACTCCCATGTTGAAAAATGAAAATATGTGTAAACTAACAGCTATCGGTAGCATTGATACAAGTGGGATAAGCATGCTCGAGGAAGTCAAGAAGAACACTGATAGAAAGGGTCTAAAGGTACGAAACACTGATTAATGTATTATGAAATCTGCAAAATCTTGGAAATCAATTAGCTTAAATGCTTACCAGTTTACCCTGTTGTTTCTGATTCAGTTCGTACTGGCAAACCCACGAAGTGAGGTGATTAAGAAGCTGGACAAATCCAAGTTCATTGAGACAATTGGTCAGGAATGGATCTATCTTACTGTAGGAGAGGCTGTAGGAGCATGCAGCTTCATGTTACACAGATACAAATCAAATCCAAATGCTGTTGAATATGATGCACAAAATAATGTCTGACGTATGATCAATCAAATCGAGCGAGCTAATGATGCGTAACAAGGAATGAAGATGACTAAGTGAATGAGGTGGCTGTCCATCATGACAAAACTTAATCTGCTATAAAAAAGATAGGAAGAGTGAAGAATCTTTTTTGGATGCATAACTATGAATTTCTGTAATACTATACAAGAAAGAAAGATGATATTACGTAGTTCAATATAGAACTTGGATCCTCTTGAAATCCCTGTTCCTTCTTTATGTAATATCCCAGAAGTCAGAATAAAATTAAGATGCAACTCCTAATTGCAAATATTGGGAGTAAAATCCCCTTTCGTCCCAATCATTCAATCCATATTATTTCTGGAATGCCTATATGATGATAATAACAACAAAATAAAAGCACTACAAGTTGACTTCAAATGGAACTATAAAAATATTCTACGCTGCATGGTTTCGAAACACAACTAAGTAAAAATCAATTCAAGCATTCCATGTTTGACAAACAACAAATGGATCCGACCAAGAGTGAGCTCATCATCACAAAATCTCAAGTTGCAAAATCTGGTGATAAATCAATCATCAGGATATAAACCAAATACTAAATTCTCCAAACTCAAAAGAAGGTTCTCAGATTAATTCTCAGCCACTTAATGGATAATATCAAAGAAAATGATACTATTTCTCTATCACTTCCACTAGTCTTCTTGGTCATATCTTAACTACTCATGGCATGAGGGCAGGTAAAAATACCTTAAAATAGAATAGCAGTAGCACGTAGAATACCTCATTATAAAATTATACCTACAATCAACACTTAACTGAACGGAACTAGAAGAACAACCATGGTGATCAGGAAACGCTCTCAAAAGAGAGTCCCAGGCAAGAAAACAGCCCCAATGAGAGCTGGGAACAAGTTAGCAGAGCGCAGTTCTCTTTGTTTCTGAGTTTGGTTTAACCAACCAGGAAGTGGGAACCAATTTAAGTAATAGACTAGATGTAGTATGCATAATTCCTATATTTTCCCACTGTAAATACCATCTCTTTCTCACAAACACAAAATAGAAAAGAGAGAACAAAATAGAAGGAAATGTGCAGCAGGTCAAAAACTTCAGTTGCAGAAATTGAGCAGCTCCAATGAATTATGATAATATTAAATAATACCAACAACAGCTTGCCCAAGTTGGAACCCACTAGCTTGAAAACCTTGATTTGGGTTCAAGGTCAGAGGTTAAAACCCCTGCAATGCCAAGTAGCTAACTCCTAATGCAACAAAAAATGAATATATTAAATAACAGGAAAACAGGCTGCAAGTCAAAAATTGTGCATAAATTATGATGACAGACAACAGTCAACATTTTCTAGAGCTCTCTTCAGAGTTACATCATTAAATAGCAAAGCCAAAACCAACCAGCTCCAATTCCAACACTTCACAATAGAAGACAAGAATTGGCAATAAAAGCTCTTAAATTTTTGAATGAAACAAAAGCAAAGATTCTGACAAGGAACATCCACACAATGCAATAACTCAAAAATGCCTAAAAAGTTCCTTGGTTTCAAAACTGAAGACCTGAATGCTATGAATTAGAAAGCACCTTGTTGCAAAATTTCCAGACATCCAAGGAGCTTGCATCCAAACTCAGAGCAAGACATACACACTGAGAGTTGTATGTTTTCTTTTGGATATATGAACCTCCCATTCAAGTTTTAACACTATGCCAGGGCTTTCTTTAAATGAAATACAAGCAAAGCCAAATCATACTAAGAATTTGAGAGCTTCTGCTTGAACAAGCATGGGAGCACTTCATGAGCGCTAATGTCCAGAGCCTCAGGATCCCTGAAATATAAAATGTTGTTTGGACTCCATTTTGTCTAGAAATAACTGATTTACATGAAAGAAGTATATTGATACTGTATAAAAAAAGATTAAGCATGAAGAGAACTAGCATTGTGATATGGCCCAAAAAAATAGCATAGCCAAATATTTCCACTGAAAGTAACAACTAGCATACTCAGGCTTCAAGACTATGCATTAATGAAAAGAATTCTAATCTCTTGTCTCTTTAAGCAACATCTCTATAATATTCAAGGTCAACAAGCATCCATGAGTTTTCTACTTTTCTATATAAATCTACCAATAGCATGCATCTTCCACAAGTTCTAAGGGGAAGAACCCTAGTCAATATATATGAGAATGAATATGGTAACTAATTAATATAAAAGAGAGATACCTGCACAGTGTTTGCCCCTTTTCATAGGAACTTGGAATAAACCATAGTTTTCGCAGGGAAGGTGACTCAAACTGCACAAAGAAACCATCTTGTTGCCCATGTTTCCACTTCCTAGAGCCTTGGCCTTTCCAGACCTGTAAATTGATCATTTAATTGTTATTAAGCTCTCTGTTGCCTGTAACTTTTGTCGTTAGCTGGATAAAACCAAACCACAAACAAAATCAGATGTAGATATATTAGATCCTACTGCACATGTTAGAACTGGACAATGAGAAGCCTAGGTAGAGAATAAAATGCTGAAGCAGACCTGCCAGCTATTTACTCCCTTGACAAGGATTTACAACCCACCAAACTAACAAGTGCTTGAAAAAACTTGCGCTCAGACTGGAGAAATATAAATCATTGAAGTGGCATTTATGTTACTACAGAGTAACATTTCAACTACTTCAAAGAAAATATCAATAAATTTCACAAAAATGCCTTCCGAATCACACCCACTGCTATAAGGATTGGATTTTTTAAGCAATCAATGAATAGTCAAGCTAGATTCACATCACAAAACAAGAATAGCTCAAGTGCATCTGAAATAGTCCAAACACTAGCCCTGGGGCAGACTGATATATTACAGATCAGAGAACACAGACACTAAAAATCTGCAAGCTCATATTTGGTGCTTTGGCTAGTGCATAATAGCAACTAGCACTCACAATTCATGAAACTACAGCCATGCCAATTCACTAATGTACTCATCCATCTACCATTTTTAAGTCCTTTTAAGAACCATCATCCAGAATGATTATTTATTTTCCAAGACAGGTTTCATGCAGTTTCATAGAATAACAGTAGACATATAACTATAGTGCTTCAACTGATTTTAATAACTTACTATAATCAAACTACTATGACTGAAAAAAGTAATAATTCTATTTGATGGGGCAGAGAAAAAGGTTTACAATCTTTGCAAACCATAATAGAATTTATATGCATTCCATTATTTTTCCCATTGTATTGATATGTTTATCTACAGTGATTTAGAACAGATACAGAGAATTTATACAATACCTGTGGATAAGCAATGATACTTTTTGGTGTCACTAAGCAAGCCGCTCTGGAAAAAGAATCCTCAGAATACTGCCTAAGAAAAGAAAAGCAGTTGCTATGTGTGTGGGGAGACTCAAAGGCCTGATATAAAAGACAAGATACAAATGCTCATCATTTCAAATTTAGGGTACATAAATGAACAAAAGTTAAGTCAAATTTAATTGCATTAAGAAATTCATTAGAAATGATGCTCAAAAGGTACTAAAATATTTGACAGTTGCACTTGCAATTTGACCTCAACAAGAAAAAAAAGATGTAGAAAGTATGAAATACACAAACTAAATAGAGTATCAAACAAACCAGCTAGAAAAATATTTTCAAACAAATTTTATAAGAGCTTTACTACCTTATCAATATTGACTACTGGAGCATATTTATCAGTCTGTGTCTTCTCCTTGTCAAGAAGGAAATAGACTCTAGGATCCACCTTTGAAGTTTCATGCCATGATTTTACAGCTGTCTCCATTGTCTCAACAAGGAAAGTAAAGATTTCTTTCCAACAATCTTCAGATCCATACTTTTCAGACTGCAGCAATACCAATATAATCAATAAGTCCATCTCTTAGGGGTATACTAAAAAGAATCTTCCTATCAACAATCAAAAATTCTAGTCTCAACAATCCATAGATGAGAATTAGATGAATAGATTCTCACCTATGACAAGCATTCTATAAGCAAAAGCGAAAATGAAAACAAAATCCAAATCAAAGCAAACAGAAAAGAATTAGAATAAACCATTCTGGTAGAAGGTAATGGAGTCATGCACGAGCTACACTCTTACCCACCGTGTCAAAATAAAATAAACAAATATAGAAGAAAATTGTGACATTTTGCAACTCACCATCTCAGTCTTCAATGGCTCCAAGCTTTTTGCCATATCTACATTGGATCTCAAGTTTTGCATTTCTTGCAGTCTCTTCTTATCTTTTGCCAACTGAGAAAGCCTCTTGATCTTTCTTGATACTTCTGCACTTTGGGGACTGTACTGCAGAGCTGTTTGGAAGGCAGCTAAGGCCTGGAATATGTGAAGGTTACAAATGTCAGCAGAATACAACTAAATCCATTTCTTCTCCCCAAAAGGTACATAAGTCATGAAACAAGTGAAGAAGGGGGAAGAAAAACTAACATCATCATATCGTTCCATGGCCTCTAATACACATCCTTTTCTGAAATATCCCTGGAGATATACCAAAATAAGTCTAAGGAGGAGCTTCTAAATATCAAAGACAGTAAAACCCGAGAATCAATGATTTCCAAAGAAAACGGACAACATGAGGAATGAGAAGAATAAATGCACCTTTTCCCACTGTGGATTCAATGTGATTGTTGTCTCAGCATCAGCAAGTGCTTTGTTAAGCTTAACCAAATTTAAAAATGCTGCGGCTCGATTGCTGGCCCATGGTAGAAAATCATATTCAATAATTGTGATTTTTGATTTGTTGATGCAACATAACAAATGAATCCAAATGGAGGCAAATAAATGAAGAAACAATGTCTAAAGGAGAAGTTATATTGTAAAAGCAAGTCCACATTCATTACAACTTAAAGTAATAGATAATTAGACTCACAGCCAACTAAATGATTTCAGAGTTGATGAGATTTGTCCCTACTACAATACTTCTCATAAACCATATACAGGCATTCAAATGCTATCAAAGATCAACATGAATCAATTGAACTTCAGCAGCAAATACATATAGATGTCTTACTAACGTGCGTTTGAACCATTACTAGACATAAATCAAGAGGCTCTACAATATTTTATTCTTATAAACATTTTCTCAAACTTCTTCCTTGCAATCCAAATTAAACAATCCTTCCTTGACCAAATTTTGCTATTCATATTTCATACCACCTGACCAGAGCAAAAAAATATGAGTTTTTCTTTCTAGCTGATAGATGCCCATTGCTAATCAAATTTAACAGCCAAAACTCATATCCTACCTCAAGCAAACAAAACAGAACAAATGATCCTAACATGTAATATCAAAAAATCCTTGCATCAGACAAAATTTCAAAACTTTCCAGCACCCTTAGGAACTCTATTATACTTATAAACAAGATAAACAAAGTGACAGTGGACCAAAAAAGCATCTTAAAGTTAAAGAAAATTCCAGATATACAAACAAGAAGAAAACCCACTTGAGTGAGTCCATAAAGATTGCATTTTGATAAAGACCCTCAAACATGAACTCATAAACAAAGAGTAATAAAACCCTAAAATTTGGTAATTACCTATAAAGGGTAGGATTTGAGGGGTCTTGCTTTATGGCCTGAGTGTACAGAGCAGCAGCTTTGAGGTAGTTCCCTGATTTGAAAAACTCATTGCCTTTATCTTTCAATGACATCCCCTCCTCTCCAGCAGCACCACCCCCTTTCCCTGATCCTGCCTCTGCACCTGCCATTGTTATTTCAACGATTCTATTGAAGGACGCTCCAACTTCTTCTTCCCGTCTGATGTTGTGGCAATTGTTGTGTATTGCTGGTGGGGTTTATTGGAGATAGAAGAAAGATGCCTCCTTTTACAAATGTTTTCGTAAGATTTTGCACCAATGGCAAGCTGCTGAACTAGCTTCAGCACCTTCTAGTGGGGTTTTTCAGTACAGAGACATGAGATTCTTCAGAGTTCAGGCTTTCTGAGTTATCTAGTATTGGGCTTTTGGCCTGTAAGTTTGAGTTGGATTTAACCTTTAGTGTGGCCCAATTAAGAAAAACAGGACCGTTTTGACTTCAAAGTTCAAACTCTCCAACATCCACTTCCTACGGGCCCATAAGGCCCCTAAATAAATGAAAAACAATAAAAAGGTATAATAACCTTGGGAAAACCCTACTTTTAGCCCGCACATTATATTATGATATTTTTAACCTATCACCTTATTAAATTTGTAGGTTTTAACCTCTCATCTTATAATATAACACTTTTAGCCCTCACTTTGTAATATTTTATTAGTTCTGTTAGCTGACTGTTAACTCTATTAATTGACTGTTAATTTACTGTTAACTGTCAAAAACTTTCTTTCAGCTAACTTTCAACTAACAGAGTTAATAGAACTAATTTTATAATATTTCGTTAATTTTGTTAATTGGTTATTAGTTGACTGTTAGTTGATAAAAGTCTAATTTTAGTTAACAGAGTTAACAGTCAATATAAAATGATGGTTATTTTTTTTGATTTTAATAGATGATGGGCTAAAATCTATAAATCTAATAAGCTAAGAGGTTAAAAGTGTTATAATATAAGATAAGAGACTAAAACCTTCACACTTGATAAGGTGAGGGGCTCAATTAGGTTTTTGCCTAATAACCTTATTCAGTTATACTGGCTGGCTAACTGGGATTTCAATTGGGCCCTGATAATCTTTCTTCGTGTCAATTGAGTCACAAATTTTTACCTTTTGAAAAAA